TGACGTTATATGATTAAATTGCTAGATAAAATATATGTTTTTGTTTTTTTTTTACCAAAATGGCGCATTTTTTTACAAAAAAGAATATGAACTTTTAGCGACATTTTGCTGGATATGTTACAAAATAAAGTCATGAAGATATGTTACGAGTTGCACTTGATATTGCAAAATATATATAGTTTCGTGATCAGTACGTGATACACAGGTAAAACTAAAAAAAACAAGTCGTTCGTCTAAACGGAACCAAAAAAATGCACAGATTTTGCACGAAGATAAACTATATTGCCAACTATATAAGAAGGATAGGACTGTTGAACTAGAATCAGTATGTCAGTGGCAAGTTAAAAAGATTGATATTCTTTGCATTAATACACACTTCCTAATGTAAAACAAAACAAACACTTGGGAAAAAGTGATTGTCCTAACCAAGGTCATAGAGAAAAAAGAAAGAATTGTTAAAAAAAGAGAAAAATTAAAAGAACGAAAGTTTGGCAGGATTAAATTTTTTGTTAGTTTGCACTCAAAGCTAAGCAAACAAATTAGATATAAAATGGAGTATGAGGAGTGTGCAAACAGACTGGTTCTTGTATAAAAAGCTCATCTATACGTTCAAACCTTCATTTAGAGTTACGGAAGTTTTACAAAAAGACAACGATTATTTTTTTATATTCTCACATAACATGGGTAATGCAAAATCTCTCATTGGAAAATCAAAATTACGCAAACTTAATCCTAAGACTCTAGCAGAATTGCAGAAAAATGTTGATGTTTATTTCACTGCTGATGAGATTCAAGAATGGTTTCAAGAATATCAATCTAATCTGAATAAAGGCATGTCTAAATTGACAAGGAAGGATTTCAAGGAAGTTTATAACACTGTATTTCATGGCGATGCCACATCTTTTGTGGATCAGTTATTTCGTTGTTTTGACATCGATGGGGATGGTTTTGTCGATTTCAAGGAATTCATTGTAGGACTTTGTGTATCTAGCAGCGAGAATTCAGAGACAAAGTTAAAATGGGCGTTTAATATGTACGATATTGATGGAAATGGAATGATTTGTAAAGAGGAAATGGTTCATATAATCAAGGTAGTTACGTGTATTTAATTCATATATTTTTTTCTATGGTTCTATAGTTTATGATTCCATTTTCTTTAGATGTGCTGCCAGATGTTTTTATGCTAAACATTTGAGTTATAATGATATGGCATTACTTTTAGTCCAAACCCCAACGTAGGAAAAATTTTCTTATTGGAAGGCACATTTAGATACCTTATAAAATCATTTTTTCATTTCTTTTTATTTTAATCTTTGCTCATATAAAATAATCTCTTTTGCAATCATTACATATCAAATGGCATTTATTCTATAACTGAGGATGCAAATTTCAAGGTTTACCAAAACGGATCTAACACACGTAAGCGACTGTGTCCAGATGAAAATTGTTTTATTTTATTTTTTTGCCAATTTTTGTGAACTATTTATCCAGCTGGCGGCATTTGAAACTTTCGAGCCGTCCGATAATGGCCTGCACTGTTCGCGATTCAGTTTGTGCTTTTTCCCTTTTAAATTGTTGCATTGTATCGTCTAAATACAAATATAAGATATATAACATGGTTAGGGGTAATCATACTTTATCAAAAAATATACATTTATGAATTTTAGGCAATCTACAAAATGACGAATACAGTTGAACACGGTGAACAAGACAGTGCCGAAGAGATGTGTACTCGATTTTTTGAGAAATTTGATTTGAATCGTGACGGATACATAAGTTTTAAAGAATTTAAAGAAGGGGCAATGGAAGACTCAATGATAGTGAAGCTGCTTGAATGTGACCCTGATCCACATATTTGACACATTCACATTTTCTTCGGAAGCAAAATAAACTCCACTGTTTTATGGAAATGTTTATTTTCTGAGATTGAGTACCCATGCTTAATTCAATAATTGTATGTTTTCGTTTTTCTTTTACATTTTGAATCAATACAAATGTCTTATGTCTTTTTAAACTTGTATGACTGTATGAATAAACTATTCTAGATTATATGAATAATGATTTAACTTTTTCCTCATGACTTCTCCAAAGATATTCTACCAATCATAGACATCCCAGGCTTAATTTCCTTATGCTTACCTTAAGTGCAACACACATGCCAAAGTGGCCACAAATCATAAAGCCCCCTGTAAAATGTGTAACTAGTATTTGAAAAAAATAGAGAACATAAGAATCCCTAAAGAAGGTCCAAAACAACAAAATTAAAAATAATGCAGGCTCGGTTTGATTCAGCCTGTTCATGGAGGTACTGTCGAGTGCAACCTACCGCCCACGCCCCCTGTAAAATTTATGTGGCTGATAAACCTTTGCTTTTTGTGCTCTTTTATAGTGATCCACCGCCTAAATGAACTTGTTGAATTATGTATACGGTTAAAGTATCATGTGAATGTATGTAAAACAAATTTTATCTAAAATTTTATAAACGTTTCATTGTTGAAACTTCCTTATGGTCCTTATAAGCCCATATTTGTAGTAGAAACTATCAAAAATATGCAAAGTGAGTTATTAAAATGTAAATTGTATTCCGTTTTTATTAAAAAGACAATGTACCTTTTAGTACATTATACCTTCAGGGACAAAAACTGATATAGCATTAAGTTGGTATAAACAAAAAATGACAAGATAAATTGCTGTGAATGCTAAGTTTAATATCTTATTTAAGATCAAAAGTGACATTAATACCAATAAATTCCAATTCCGCTTTCTGGAATTGACAAGTATTGTAGGTATCTGAGGCTACTATGTCCGTGGCTCAAGTAGGGCTCAAACCCACGCAGGATCCTTGAGTTGACAGGCAAACACATTAACCACTAGACCACCGCTCCCTTGTGGTGGTGTGTTGGTATTTTTAACTCCGGATCAAGGCGTTAAGCCACTCTGAAATTACCAGAGCACAGTTCAGCCACCGCTTCGTGCCTGGACAGACTGTCAAGCAGTTTACCAATACTAGTTGCCTTCACTTTCGCAAGAAACTGAAACTTCTGTACATACCTACCAGACGCACAAGTGCGAATAACAGTAGAAATGATTTTATGATCAATCACAACGAAAGTGATCTGAACTGTCCAGGAATCGAACCATGCAGGGTTGTCCAATCCACAGTCCAACACTCTACCTATTGAGCTAACCGGACGGCCGCTCCCTTGTTTGGTTTGTATGTGCCCTTAAACCTTAGTCTGCTGATGGCTTCTAAATCTACCCATGGAAACAGTGCTGAACAAGATCATGTCTGACCTGTTCGATTTTCAGTACGAAGTTTGAAAATGATAAATGGTATATATGTCCAAATAGAAAGATTAACAAGTTTTATAATAAATTTAGCGGGTTAAGAAATTCAAAGCTTGTTATCAAACTGTTTTCATTCCTCGGATTCCGTTTCGGCAATTTGTTCGAAAGAGGAAGTTTTAAACACATTAAAGACAAATATGTAAACAGCCCAACGCATTAATTACTGAACAAACATGAAATAACAGAAAAAGAATATCAGCATGAACGATCGTTTACATGACATAGATCAATTAACACTAACAAGTGATTGTATCAGTAGTATAGTTATTATAATAATTTAGCGGCTTCATCAATGGAGCCATTTTAAGTGCATTTGTAATTATATACCGGCATTTGCAAAGCAAACGCCTCCAATGTGCCCATTACAACTGGTTTGACATGGACTTTGGGCTTTAATAAAAGCACGCGCCCTCCTCACTAATCTTAATGATTTAGCAAAGCACGCAGGACCTGTTTGTTTTTGTTTTGTTGCATATCTGTAGGCTTCAATTGGATAGTGAAAATATATGTCACAGTCATCCATAGATCAAATTATCGTGAAATGTAATACCCTAATGACCAATTTTCTTTTCTTGAGGCCCCAACTTGGTAACCCCGTTAATACACCTCGTAACACTTATTTAACCAATTTCTTAGCGACTCCTGTTGTAAAATGAAATACAGCAAAATAAGCTACAGTAAACATTGACTTTAATCTTAATTTAACTGTTAATCGAATATAAAATTCCTCTTATAGTTTATTTTCATATCCATATGCATCCCTTATTCTAATGTTACAACGAAAGAAATTGGGCATTACATTGTTTCAATTTCAGTGCTTAGTGGAAAATCTCTTTATACATTGCATGAACACTGTATTACCAGACATGTTTCATTAAGCTTGCATACACCTGCATAACACAGCCGTATTAAAATGCAAATGAGTCCCTTATTTACACACAAGCTCTTTTTTGAAATTAATTTGTTTACACTATAAAATTATGGTGATTTTGGAATTGAAAATAGATGTTTATCTCTAAATAACCTCAAAGCATCTCTAGATAAATTTGGATTATTTCAAAAAATTTATATTTGGCTCCAAATTTAGTTATTCACAGCGTGATTTTAAAACTATTCTAAGAGAGTGTAGTCACGGTTATGTTACAATTTAAGCAGATCATGACTAGATAAAGCCCATCCGTGATTACATAACAATCAGTTTAGTGCATCGTAAATTAACCATTCGTACCAGGAAGATGTTAAGATGATACAAATACAAATAAACGGACGAAGAAACGGTAAACAATATTGTAAAATCGAATGACTGACTGAAACCTACAAAATACTTACAGACAGAAATATGGGAAACGCAAAATCTCTTATTATGAAATCAAGAATTCGAAAACTGAATCACGACAGTTTAGCAGCGTTGGAAGAAAATGAAGATATAGATTTCAATCGGCATGAGATAGAGGAATGGTACAAGGAATTCCAGCTACATCTAGATAAGGGCATCACTAAATTGACAGTTGATGTGTTTAAAATGATTTATAACCGTGTGTTTGAAGGCGATGCTTCGTCATTTGCCCATCATCTGTTCCGATCTTTTGATACAAATGGTGATGGATATGTAGATTTTAAGGAGTTTTTGGTCGGTCTGAGCGTTTCTAGTAGCCATAACACCGACAAGAAATTAAAGTGGGCATTTAAAATGTACGATATTGATGGAAATGGATTGATATGTAAGGACGAAATGATTTGCGTTCTAAAGGTACAGTACTTACTTTTTATTTCTGATTTTTTTATCATTAAATAACCGAGATAAGGATCGATAAGGCAATTGTCAAATTATCAATATATAAACACTGTATTTCCAGAAATAAAAAAAAAAAACACGATAAGTTGATACAATTTTTGTATGATACAGAAAATGAAAAAGGTCCACTATGGAATACAAGTATTTTATCAGAATTGTTCAGTAGCTAAACTTGCAAAACGGGTATAGCGCATCAAAACAATATTGATATTTGTTACTGCAACGTGATACATACTTTTTATAAAAATAAGATAATAATTGCTTAAAACAAAACAAATAAAAACTATAATTGAAAACAAAAATGAAACGTTAACATTATTTCATTTCATCTACCAGTACAATGTACATGTATATGGTATAAATTCCAATCCGAAATTTATTTCATTACGATTTTGTTTTAAAATTAAATATTTGAAAGTTCTCCTTCTGATATAAGTCCCATACTAATTGAAATAAAAAGCCCTTCTTACTGAAAAAGAAGAAATAAAAAATAGACACTTTGATATACATGTAATACTATTTATTACTATTACATCCATAATAAATCATGCCTAAAATACCCCCCCCCCCCCAACACGTGCACAATTTGTACTCTAATACGACAGATAGAAATCAGATGCGCAACTATAGTTTGTCAAAAGGTTGGTTATAAATCGTCTCTTCTTTCTTAGATGTGAATAATGTGAATAATTAAGTATGCTTATCTTTATCAAGTAGGGAGAGAGTAATAATTAACACGACTTGAAAGGTTTGCGTTTGAGGAAAAGATTTCAGTGATGATAAGTTTTGCAACATTTATTGTAATACGAATGCAAACGATTTTTACAGGATATATACAAAATGACAAACGCAGTGGTAAATGGAACGCTAGGTGGACCTGAACGAATAACTGATGCGTTCTTCGAAGAATTTGACTTGGATCGTGATGGGAAGATCTCTTTTAATGAATTTAAGAATGGTGCATTGACCGATCCTCTGATTATACATTTACTGGAGTGCGATCCGGACCCTTGATGTGCCAATAGCTATCGTTAGCATTGAAGAACACTTTAGTGAGAAAAAAAGTTAAATAACAACGTTGCTGTTTTTTCCATAAAGTTAAATTTGTGTTTAAAATACAAAGCGTAATTGAATACCTATTTTAAGTGTAATAGCATATACATTGATTGACATACCATTTGAATAAACTGCTTCTGTAGCCCTGTCGCACAATCATCAAAAGCGGTAAGTGTAAAAAGATACCGCAGATAAAGTACATAATATTATAGAAGATAGATATTAACAAGTACATGTAAAAAGACGGAAACAAACAAAGACATTTTTCCAAGTTATAGACTTTATTCGTTAATTCTATTAATGTCTTTATTCTATATCATGGGTAGAAACGATTACCACCAACAGGCTTAGGGATAGCAAAATAAATGGCGAAAACAACTGCCTCGTCCTGAGTGCATATCAGTTTTCATTGTACAATAATAAATTAGACTGTGTTAGAATATTTCTTTTCAATCCTTACCCTTATATCTCTACTTGTATAAACATTATCTTAATTGTTGAATTTGTATTATGAATATTTGACAATTGGCTCAACTTTTACTATTTGTGTTGCTTTTTGTTCTTAAATACATAATAAGAAGGTTGATATTTTTGTCACGTTCTTTATTTCATCGATGCTCGGTAGGTATTATTTGATGCTCAGTAGGTATTCCTAAAACGTTTTAAACTAGTTAGGGCACATGGGAAATATAAACGATATTCTTTTCGGAATAAAACCAAATTGTTTGCTATAAGCTGTCATACGGGTAATTGTCGGTTGTATAGTTTTGCCTTTAGAATTTAGCCAATCTCTAGCTAGCCTAGCTTCCCTTGTTTTGTCGTAATTAGTGAAATCACAATGTCTCGTCTTATAAACATTGATAAACTAGAATTTACTCTATATAATTGTATAATTTGTCATAAAACCATTGACTGGTTAGGTAAGGGTGCCATGGCAACTGGTCCGATATTGTTTTACATGATACCAGTATATTTGTCCAAAAAAAAACATTAGTTGGTGAGGAAGGGGTCCATGGCAACTGGTCCTATATTGTTTTACATGATACGAGTATATTTGTCAAAAAACATTGGTTGGTGAGGAAGGGGTCCATGGCAACTGGTCTGATATTGTTTTACATGATACCAGTATATTTGTCAAAAAACATTGGTTGGTGAGGAAGGAGTCCATGGCAACTGGTCTGATATTGTTTTACATGATACCAGTATATTTGTCAAAAAAACATTGGTTGGTGAGGAAGGGGTCCATGGCAACTGGTCTGATATTGTTTTACATGATACCAGTATATTTGTCAAAAAACATTGGTTGGTGAGGAAGGGGTCCATGGCAACTGGTCCGATTTTTTTTACATGATTCCAGTATCTTTGTCATTAAACCAATGGTTGGTGAGGAAGGGGTCCATGGCAACTGGTCTGATATTGTTTTACATGATACCAGTATATTTGTCAAAAAAACATTGGTTGGTGAGGAAGAAGGTGATGGTAACTTTTCCGTCGTTGTAAAGTAAATATACTATTAGAAGTGCGATTGAAAGGTATTTGTCTTATCTAAGCTTTCTTTGCAACTAGTTGCATATGACTTAGTATCGAGAATGTAATTAAGACGTGCATCTCCCATACCCCTTTTAGCCTAAGAGCTATTGACTTATAAATGTGCAACTTTAGAAAGTCACTACTTTGCTATATGCAGACATTTTCATACATTGTATAAAAAGCATCAGTTGTTAAATAAAATTGTTTAAATGTAAGCGAAATATTCTCGAATAAATGGAATATGTCAAATTAGTTATGTATTTCATTAACACTACATTTATTTATCAAGGCTTATGTTAACATAAAACTTGATTAATTATTTTTATGATGTCATTAGTTGTTGTAAATATCAACGATTTTTACTTTATGGCCAAATATATACGACTTATTTAACGCTTATTAGCTATGGTTACTTAGCAACATTTATAAAGCATTAACATCGTGATTAGTCAACGGCAATCGGCGTTACAAATGAGGTATTATAAATTTTGTTACAACAGATAATCTGATGCTTAAGGTATAGAGCATATCTTTGTTTTATAATGTTTTGATGCATTTGAGTCTGAAGAATAAAATAAATACAGTTAAAAAGTACAGTAACAAACTTATAGAACAATATGAAAAATAGTTAATAATTTATGCAGATAAACATTATTATCCATTTTCTAATATTTCGTTGAAATTGACCATTTAAATAAAACAATGTTAATATAAACTGCAATATCTCATATCTGACTTTCTCTCTCATGAGAATAAGAACAAACAGTGCATTTAAATTATTGATACAGATAAACCTGTTTACAAAGTCATGGAAAAAGTCATTTTTGTTGGAAGTAAGCTAGATTATAAATGTATTGCAAACATGTGTTTGTACCATAAAATAGGAAAGCTAAAATGCAGGTTTTTTGTGTCAAGGTTTTCTATTTGTGATGTTTATTCCAATATGGTCTATTGTAAATATGTTTTATATCTTGCTGGAGCCTAAAAATATACTATTTATGAAAGTTTTGTTTATTATTTAAACAATGGCAAACTTAAATGGTGGATGCATTCATTGAATGCCACCCTTCCTTGTTGATATCTGTTTTCATATTACAAATATTGAAAGTAGACAAATCGAAACACGTATTGATATTGATAAAGTGTAAACAAATACAAATAATAATACTAAATAGAAATGTTAAAGCATTGTCATACCCTGGCATGACTGTACAAATTTCTATTAGGCATATCATATTGATTATAATATTTGAAATAATAAGATATCAAATGAGGTTCACACTGGTGTCGTATTGTATGTTTTTTGTTTAATATCGATCATTTGCGGTTCAATTATTCATTTCTTTCAACATAAACGGCCATGGCTTAATGAACTAGAATGAGACAAATATCACTGAAAGCCACTTAGGGAATATGAATAATTAAACACAGAATATTAACACAGCGTGGCGGGCTGCTCAGTATTGTATTAGAATGAACAAAAACTTTAAGCCAGTTGCAATTAGTTTGCAATTAGTTTAATTGATTTTGCTTCGTCAGCTGAACTTTGAATATTTCTCAGTGCGTTTTGTATACACTGAAAGTGCATTTCATTAATCAGCTGCAACATCCAATATACGTTTTAGTGCCTGTAAATTTAGAGTGTGTGGATACAATGGGAAATTCTAAGTCTACGGTGAGAAAGTTAAGCCCTAAGACATTATCGGAACTTCAGAAAAATGTGGATGTTGATATTAGTAAGGAGGAGATTGAAGAATGGTTTCGCGAGTACCAGAGCAACCTGGGTAAAGGGATGAGTAAGCTGACCATGAAGGAGTTCCGGGAAGTATACAACAGTGTTTTTGACGGAGATGCTGATGTGTTTGTGTCACATTTATTTCGATCCTTCGATGAAGATAACGATGGTTTTGTTGACTTTAAAGAATTCATTGTTGGTCTGTGCGTCTCGGGAAGTGATAAGCCAGAAACAAAACTTAAATGGGCGTTTAAAATGTACGATCTTGACGGAAATGGCTCTATATCCCGAGAGGAAATGTCCAGCATGCTTAAGGTTTGTGCTCTTGTCTTTTAGTTAATTTATATGTGTAATTAATTAAGCGGATAAAACCGACTGAAGGCATCAATATAGACCATGTACTCTTAAGGAAAACAAAGTTTACTGACCCCTTTAGTTTTGTCTAAACACCATGATCGCTTGTCAAAGTTGTATTTCGCTTATTATTTATTGTCTTGTTTACAGCGAGAAATTGATTTTTACATAATTGAAAGTGAATAATTAATGAATTAACCGTTTAATTTCACACGGCCGCTATTGTCGTATTGACCGACGCCTGTGTATTTGTGAATTGACACTGTAATGTTAAAGAATATCCAAAACATTAAGCCAGTTTAAACATCAACCTATATAAAGAAAGTAGGCTATTTTAGATAGGAAATCTATGATATTAACAAATCAACTGGGACAGATAATAATTTATCACAAAAGAACACTTCAATAATGAAGAAAATAATAAAGAAAAAAAAACTTTATAGTTGAACCAATGATTGAGCTATTTTTCGACCATTACCTGTTTTGTGACTAGTAGTACAAAACAGTTATCATCATCCATTTATCTTAAAACATATTAGTTGGAAAAAGATCTGTTATCTTCAATAACTCAATAAAGTTGGAAAATAGAAGAATTATCTTGAGTGATACAGTTAAAAAAATAGAGCAGTTCTCTAGAATAATTTTAGTTACAAATGGTAGTTTAGGTCCTGTTGAACATATTATTTAATAGTGAACATTTCAAAGTTGAAAAACTTTCGTATATTTGTTGCACATTTTCATGCATTTACATTTTTATTATCATTATTTTACTTTTTTTAATTCCTACATTTTAGGCTATATACCGAATGATAACAACCGATTTATCAACCACAAAAGACGACTTGGTTCTTATTGGAGAGTTAGTTAACACATTCTTTAAATCCGCCGACCGTAACAATGACAACGTGATTAGTGAAGCAGAATTTGTTGAAGGAGTAAAAGAAATGCCTGTGATCCTACATTTACTACAATGTGACCCAGATACTGATGATATCAACGAAGTGGAAACCATTGATAAGTTTGATTCTTTGCAAGTATCTGAGAAACAATTGTCCTCAAACAAAGGTGAAAGAAAAAAGCCATCGTCAGGCGCGGGAAGCGACAGAAGTTCGGCATATAAAAGTCAGTGATAGAGAAATCTTAACACTTTCTCTGAAAAAAAAAAGCTTTAAAAGATTTAAAAAATGACACTTTTATGAACGCTGTTCAATGTTGTTCTTGATTTGACATTCATGCTTGGAGATGACATGTGTTCTGTGATACAGCTTTATTAGCCCTTACCATGTTAAAATCCAAAAAGTGATTAAGCCTTTGCCAGCAGTATAGAGCCAGGCCAGTTTGCAAGATAGTCTGGCTAGGCGTTATACTTTTGGCTTACTAAATTTTAATTCCAACCTTGATACCCCCAAAAAATTTATAATGGATAGTTCCAAAATGGACGCTGGACAATTCTATGCAAAGATATGCAACAGAATAGATCTTGTAACTACTGCGACAATCCCTCTTTAGTGAAAATTCAATCAATAGCAAGAATTAAAACGGTGCTATACTTTCAATCTTATAATGCTTACACGTGATCATGAACAACTAAAAGGAAGTTAGAAGCATAATATCAATATTGGGTTGAAATGAAAATAAAGTATTTTTCGTGTGAAAGCCAAGAATAAATTTTCATTCAATATTTGTAATTGAAACCTTGTAGAATGTATAAGAATGAAACCTTTGATATTTCATGAATAAAATATCAATCAACTCATTCGTTCAGTTAAATATATTCTTATATTTCACATTTTTATGTGAAATTCAATGTAATTGCAATAACGAAAGCAATCACATATCATATGCCATAAACAAGTATGAAAATTCAATGTTTTCTTTAAAAATATACATTACTCACAAGTTTCAACTTAACGATAATGACTCAGGATCTTTGTCAGTCCATTTGAACACATCATTATAGCATACATTGTTACAACCTGCAGATTGAATTCATCAATAAACACTGAAAGCATTGCAGAACTCAATTAATCTCGAGGGTTGCAAAGTTCTCGGCAAGTGAAAAGTAGATAATTAAACATTTTTTACTGACGTGCAATAAGTACGTTGTAAAATGCTAAAGGTCTATAAGCTGCATCAATTTGTTTAACAAAATAAACATACTAGTATTGAACAAAACAGTATTATATCTAAGAGACAAGGACAATGCCTATGAGTTTATAAGCAATACATGTATATGGCCCCCGCCGAAAAATACAAGCAGTTGAGTATGGTGCCAACGTTTAAATGAAAAACACAACAAACATTTATTTTAAAAAGATATACTATTGAGAATAATAAGGCAACATTGATGACGAAAAACCAAAAGCGTACTTTTTCATGAAATGGCACTTAGCGTTACTTAGAAGGCTCAATTAGTGCCATATGAACAGTTTCACAGTTTTAATGTTAAAATGATGAATTCTGCTTAAGCCGGTGCTGAGGTGGTCGGGGCGGTACCTTGCATTTACCATAACCACCATGCATAGGTTCAAATAAGCCGAGCCTCCAGAATACTCAATTTCGCGTTTTAAGCGTTCTTTACCAAATTATGCAGTTATGTGATTGTTTGGCCATAAATAAATTTTGTTTTTCAAAGAGTTCTTTCGTTTATTGAAACAACATACAACATCGATGATTTACAAAGATACATGAAACAATTAAACACATCGACAATACAGCCTTGTTGTTTTAAAAGTAAATTTTGGCCACAACTTCAATAATATAAGTGACACAGGTCATGTAACTGTCATTGACTCTGGTTCTTTAAATTGTAATATAATACGAAATCAACTTTTTCTATATTCTTACAATATCTTTAAAATGGCATTCTGTTTAAATACGTGGATCCATGTTTGCTTTTTATAAGCCAGTGAACCAGCTGACATTTATGTGTCAATAAGAAAAGTGGCGATTTGAATATTTTCATGAACATACCCTACTTTGGAATTACGTGAAACGTGAACAGTGCAAAATTAGTGCTAAGGTTAGTAAAACGTCACTTTCACTATGATATTCAATATATTGTCACAATGGAAAGAACGCGTTATTGAATGTTCCAATGAACGAACCTGTGCATGGTGTTTGATTTAAATTTTCACCATTTTCATGTTTAAATAGTGACAAGTGTTTAAGTGACAAGTGTTTAAACCGGTGATAGCGGGGTGGACCAAAGTCTATGAACAAGCCGAATCAAATCGAGTCTTCAGTATTTTTTAATTTGTTGGTTTGGTAGTTTCCATTTCTCTTTTTTTCTTTCTTTTTTTAGAATTGTTAGTTAAAACTAAAAACAAAAAAAAAAGTTCATGAATTAAATGAAGAAAAAACGTACACATAATAATAATAAAACAAAGGCAAATGGGTTTGGCAACAAATTCTTCACATTCAACACATAAGAGTAAGCCTTTCAAAAACGTGTTGCATTTGTACCTAACAACTTCTAGACATTGAGGAAATACTTAATGCAAAGGTGACCAGTTACTTTGCAAAACAAAAACAGAAGACAACAAAAGCTTTCAATATAAACATTATATGTTTGAACTGTCATTACATTATTTATTTTTTAATTTATTTTACAACATTAAGCAGTTTATCAAAGTTTTAGATCTAAATGTAGCTTTTTTCATTCACAAAACATTGTCTGAAGATATAGATAACGTTTCAAAATGTAATTGGATATGTAAATATGTTTTCGTGTACAGTCATCTTTTGTTCCTGTATAAAAACGCAGATATCAACACAGAAAAAACGTGCATTAACGGATAAAATCACGCAAGCACGCGTTGTTATGTAGTACGTTTTTATGTGCTGATCCAGGGCACAACGTGGAACAGCTGACTAATGAAAATTTCGCAATCAAAACAATTCACGTACACGTTAAAAGCTAAAGCGTTACAAAGCCGGTTTCTTTAAACGAAATAACGAAACGCAGACTGTTACATAATAACGCTAATGCACCATATCTCGTGCGTAAACATTGCAGAAGCTCTCGTATTTTATCAAATCTCTTGCCCTGTGAACTTGGACTTTATGCTCCTTTCCTTTTCTCATGCTCCTTGAAGATGTAAAAGCACGAAGGAGGTTCATTAATCCTCCATTTTGTCTTTACATTAGCCTTTGCCACCATTATATGGTCTGGTTAAACCGCATATTCTTTGGAAGCTTTTTGTATTGGCTGTTCCAAATTATAAACTGGGCTGTTACATATTAAGCAAGTAAAAGGGTTTAATACCTATGTTACTATATATAGTAACAAAATCTAGGGTATTTCAGGGCCATTATGGCAAGATCTAGGTCATTATGCAATTTCGGCCGCCTTGCTACTCGGCATTTTTTTTTCCATTATGGGCGAGTGAATGAGCGCACGTGCAAAATGACGTAATCAACTCTCAGTGACTTTCAAGATGGCTGCTGACGTTGATGACCTGTAGTCACTTGCACAAAAACTTTCAGTTTAAATGACGTTATCAGTCTCAATCATTGAAGATTTATAAACTCAAGAAAAGAATACAATAACTCTACCAAAGACAAAACATAACCCTCAGAATTTCCAATCAAAGTGCTGCAGCACTGAATGCGACGGACATGCAACGGGAGAGACATTAAAGCTTTTTTTAGAAAAAAAAAGAAACAAATCGAAACACAAAATATTAACAGAGAAAATTTGTTCCATACAAGTTCGAGAGATTTGTAGAGCAATATATTTTGTGTCCCAAACTGAGTATAATTCAGATTTTTTACTTTCAAGCACTTAATACAGAATGAAATTTATGCCTAAAAACTCTGGTCAAACTTGTAAGTCAGTGTCCTTATCGATTTATTCCAAGAGAATGATATGTAAATAGAAAAAAAATACTGTCAACGAAATATTTCTTAAAATAAAACCATGCAAATTATACTTCAAAGCATAATACATTATACATTTTAGAATGCTATTTAGAATTGCTTCTGTGTTATATCATAGTGGACATATAGACAAAAATATAAGTCATTTGTATTTTTATTTCTCTTGGATATGTCTCATTAAAAAAAATTTTGAGTTAAAATCATCAGCAATTAATAGTGTTTTTAGATTTTTTTTTATTTACAAGGTAAAGATGTAGAGGCCAGAACAACATCGTTTTTATTTTTTAATTTAAATGTCACATTAAGCACTACAGTGTTTAGTTGTCCTTTTCAATTCACACTACATTCCATTTTCAACTTGTTGGTTCTTACAATCGTATTAGAATTTCTAAAAGTATTGCATGTAATCCGTTGGTTTATTACATGTATAATGTTACTCCATAATCGCCTGTCAAAAAATCAGCACAAAGTGAAGCAGAATCTATTTTTAGAATAGCGAAGGTTAACATATCGTGACCTAGAAAAATTATGTTAAAACAAACGCGCAAGAATCGGAAGTAGAACTGATATTATAACTTCCTTACCATGAAAGGACTACATGGTGGTAAAGTGTTGAAAAACTCTCTTCTTACATGCATTTTCAAAATCTGTAGATATTTATACTAACCATTGTACTCTATCCATTAAACCGCGGGTATGAGTCACAAAAATAGTTCTCTTTTATTAATGCGCGAGTTTCTAGAGTCACGAAAAACGTTTTGATTTGTTAATAATAATGTTTTGTATAATGTAGAAATATTTATTTTCTACTAATAATGTCTTGACACTCAGAGCTTACACCTTTATTGTAGTATAATTTGCTGTCCTACTTTTTCGACAGCTGGTAAATCGTTTCGGCAGTAATTTGCATATTGCGCAATAATACTACGGGACTACAACGTTTTATCAATAATATACGTTCATATTTTAACTTGGATAACTTAATTTGAAATTGAAAAGGCTAATTATGGAAGACTTTAAGATATCCCGACAAAGTATGGGAGTTTTGAAGGATCAAATTCATGTACTATTTCTTGGGCTGTTAATCGGTTTAGGACACTTTGCGCGATTGTAGCCGACGAAATCCCATGTGTAGATGACTTAGCTCTGAACGCGCCTGAGGGCGCGTCCGTCGCAAAAATGATTTCAGTTTGGCTGTAGAAATAAGATCGGATCGATGACAAATGGAGCTAGACATCAGTCTCGGAGGCACAAAAATTAATAAAAACTTGCACTTAAAATTTATGTTATTCTCACAAAAAAATATATCGAGTTTTTATCGATATAAACAACAATAAAACAACATTGTCTCATATTTATTTTGTTTTCTCATGTTTTCAAATTTAATAAGAGGGTTAAACTGAATGACATATTTTTGTTTACATTGACAACTGTCCGTTTCTTAGAAAGGGCGACAACCAAGATTAGCGGCGATGTCTAAATGCCGTATTTCGGACATAGGTATTAAAGACGTTAATTCTTGGTTGCTGCTCGACATTATGCGATAATGGCCCTCGAGTCCATAATGTCCTTCGGGCCTGCGGCCCTCAGGCCATTATGCACATCTTCGGGCCATTATCGCATAATGCCGAGCAGCAAGCAAGTATTAACCTCTAATTATCAGGTGATAGCAAAACAAATGTATCTCTTTTGTGATAGAATGGTGGCAATGGCGGAACTATTTATGTATTGATATAAGATACCTAAAAACCTTTCAGCCATAACCTGGTGAATTGTCAACATTTCATTTTCTAACAATCAATTATCCATTGTTCGGTTATCAAGACGAAATAAAAGAAGATAGT